TCACAAGATTATAAATCGTGTTTCGGATCGAGTTTTCGATATTGAAGTTAATGGTGCACAGCGCAGTGTATCAGTCGAGAATTTGAAGCCAGCGTATGGCATACGCGATGATTTGTGTAGTGCAATTCTAGAAACAGGGCAAACAGCTAATTCGTCTAGCAACGAGCGACCAACTTTGAGAACGTATGCGCGCCCGAAGAGGAAGGTGACTTTCGCCTTATAATTGTAATAGATCTTCCAAAAATGTAATTAATTTTTGTCAGATACTTTTAAGATATTCTATATGACACGTTGTATATATTTTATAAGGTAGACCTAAGTGCCGGATTCGTTGTCACTCGGGGGGGAGTATGTAGGGAATTCTTAATGCCTCACTAGCGCAGCGAGCGTAGTAAGCTTAAAGATTGTGTTGGTAACGAGTTGCCTAGCAGCGTAAAAAAATAATAAAAAAAGAAATATTATATTAATAGATCAATAGAGGTGTTCGTCCTGTACGGTCATATAAAATTGTGCTCGTGAAATAAATATTATATTTACAGTTACAAATTAAGTCTCGATTATTATTTTCTTTATCACATCACACGACAAGCATGGGCTTGTCAAGAGAACTCTGACTTATCCATTGAGTCACATATTCCCACGGTTGTATAAATGGTGTACACTAAAATCACTAGATATATAAAGTACTGTAAACTCGCATCCATTTTGACGCATAACGCGGCCATTTCAAATTAATAGATTTGTATTGTATATATTGGGTCATTTAAAAAGTATCCGCGGTTTTTTGTCACTAGATATGTTGACCATCAATACCATCTAGTGACAAAAAACCGCGGATACTTTTTAGATGACCCAATACATACTTTATTTGGGAAAATGATTCCGTCAAGCATTTAAATCAATGTTTTTGATTATAATTAGTTTATTTATGACCAAAAGAATATATACGGTTGTTTAATTTATGTGTTTTTTAATTTAATACGAATTTATTTGCTGTAAAAATTTAATGCATAAAAGTGCACAAAGGGTACATGTAAGTACAGTTCAGAACACGGAAGTACACATCACATGTAAAGTTAGTGGCATCCAATTGTACTCACAATGTATTGATTTTAAATCGTATACTATATGCACTTTGGCCATTTTGACACATTAGTTCTGAAATCAATTGCAGTACTTTATAGATGACTTTAATGACTTTAATGTACACTGTATGCATGTACAATGATAATACACACGGGTATGCAACTTTCGCTCTTGTCTCAATTTAGCGGACCAATCACCGATCGTTATCTTATTGGCCATATTTTTATAAGTATTCTACATCAAGTGAATTCTTTTCTAAATGAGGGCTATCTCTCTCTTTCCTCGAATCGATCTAGAGATACTATGTTTATGATGTAAACTAGATCGATCTAGAGATACTATATTTATGGTATAAACTAGGTCATACAATCTACGTATATGAATCTATAGCACAGTATAATCATATCCAATAGCGACAGTGAATTTTTTTGAGGTCTGCAATTTTTAGTGTGCATGTGTAAGTTTGTACACTTAGGAATATAGCGGACGTATTAGGAGCTTAACAGAAATTCAAATTTAAGAGCCTGTCCTATCATAGTTCTACTGTGTACAACATGGCGGTGAATGTGACCTAAGAACATCTACATCAAAAGTGCCGACACAGTGTCGCTACTGTGTATGATTATATTGTGTCTATAGTTTATACAGACATATTGAGTCAGTCGGTAACAATCGTCGGCAAACATCAAGTGTGATCGATCAATTAGAATCGGCAGTCAAAGTCGACAGTCGGGTCGGTCTACAGAATCGATAGTCTGATATGGCCTTTAGAGAAAGACGCTTACAAACTAAGTACTCTATATTATCCCTTCCACCATATATCCTACCCGCCTAAAGCGGGGAGCACAAGCCTAGTTTCCACCGAGGGTGGAAACAGATCAGAATGTAAGGGTGAAATCACACGGTCCGCAATAAGACTGCGGAATACAGAATGCGTCATTGAAGCAACCAATCAGCGCTATTCCGCACTTTTTCATCATGCAAGTTTTGTGCTATGTTTACATGATACGTCAAAGATGTATCCAGCATGAATATAATTTAAAAATTACTAACTTCATATTAATAATTTGCTTATTAAAATAAAATATAATTTTTCAAATTGTAAAAACAATTATCACTGATGTAATATTTAATGTTTTACAATTAACATTTACAATCTCATAATAATTTTTTGAACTGCTTTAACACATTTACTATTATTTTTCGCATCGTGTAAACATAACACATAAAACTAGCGTGATGGGAAAGTGCAAAAAAGGGCATATTGAAATCGCACGTAATGCATCATTATTTTTTTTGGTATCTATATGTATGCTTAGATTTTGTCATTTTGCTTCATTCATCTCGACATTATGCAATTCTATCATATCATTCAGCATCAAATTATTTTAATCTCTCAAAATATGACGATTTATTACAAGAACAATGAGGCTAGGTTTTCATTTGACGCTACGACTCATTTTCAGCATCAAAATAAGTCATGTGATCAAAATTGACGCTTGATATTCATCTATTGGGTCATCTAAAAAGTATCCGCGGTTTTTTGTCACTAGATGGTGTTGATGGTCAATACTTTTTAGATGACCCATATTTTGATCACGTGACCTGTTTTGATGTTGAAAATAAACGCGTCAAATAAAAATCCAGCCTTACTCGCTATTCCGCAACATTAAATGGAATAGCGCTGATTGGTCGCTTCAATGACGCATTCTGTATTCCGTAGTCTTATTCCGGACCGTGTGATTTTACCCTACGAACCGACCAACTATAGTCGAATATTCCCCTGTTACAGTCGAACAAGAGAATGCTCGACTGTAGTTGATTGGTTCTTACATTCTGATCCAATTTACACCTTTGGTGGAAACTAGGTCACAGATTCTTGTTTAAAGCGGGGAGCACAGACTTTTGCGTAACACATAAAGCCGGTTTTACATTAGTGTAAGCCGATCGCAAGTTTGTTGCGACAGCCAATATGAAGTGTTGATTTCAAAATGCAAGCTTCAGATTGGCTGTCGCAACAAACTTATGATCGGCTTGCAACTAATGCAGAACCGGTTTTACGTAATAACACTTTAGTTAACTTTAATGCTCAATTTTATTTCGCAGAAGAGTCCCGGATTTTTTCTGCCAAATTCTTTCATTTTATGCAAAAACACGTTGAATGAGCCTAATTTCATCGAAATCGGAGGTAGCTCTTCTGAAGAATTACCCTCATTTTGTTTCTGTGACAGATTTCCTAACCGTAATAGTTGTCAACTTTAACGCTTAATATCTCAGTTTGCGGGGCAGAGCGACACTTTTTTTTATCAGATTCTTTCATTTCATGTAAAAAAGCGTCGAATAAGCCTAATTTTATTGATTTTTGAGGTGGTTGGTGCTAAACTGTATAATTACCAGAATGGCTAATTAAGTGTCTTTTCACTTAAATAAAGACAAGTTGAAAGTTGTGACGTCGAAATATTAAATAGTGGTAAACATAAATTTTATAATGAATATTTTTTCTTTATTTTACAGATATGTTTGGAAAAGAAGTTGTTAAGCTCATAACGGAGCTCGATATGCATGAAGATATTCGACCATTTAATGTAAGCATTACAAATATTATCCCGGATAGCAAAATGTTAGCAGGATGTCAACAGACTGATAGCAGATTTGATAGAAAATGTTAGCAGACTAAGCACAACTGATGTCGCATTCTATTCCTGCTCTGCTGTTCTACTGTTCTGTTAACATTCTATGCAAGAAGACAGACTGGCAGCAGACATCAAACAGAATCCGCTGATAGAATCTGATAGCAGATTGTGAGCAAAAACTGAACAAGATCTGTCATTTTCATTTAAATCTATCTGGTTTCTTATAAGAAATTTTGCGTACATATATAAATGGTTATATATAATTATACATAATTATATATTTATGTAATAATTATATATTTATGTATATTGTGAAAACTAGAAACAATACAATTTTATTGCTAAAAAATAAATATTTTAAACAAGGACTCTCTCTCTTTAAAATAACAAAAAAAATTAATCTAGACTGAGAGTCAGCATGAGAAGAGGTGCGCAATAAAATTTTAATAAATAGTTACTTTATTTGATGTCTTCTTTATTTAAAGTCTTAAGAAATGATTGAACTTACTGAACTCATTGAACTCATTGAATGTTTCGATTCCCTTTGGAATCTTCTTCAACAATATGCCTAATCCATATTAGATTTTGTGAGTAGACAAGGTAGAGTCACTCACAAGTTGCCAAAACTATAGTGGAATCTGCTTAAATTCACATACTTGAGAGACTTAAAAAATCAATCAAATAAATAATAAAAACAGTACCCAGCAAGTTACCTACACGATCACAAAATCTTGTCATGAAGCTTTGAATGCTATTAATATTCACAAATAATTTTTTAATATATTTTACATGAATTTGATTGAACTCACAAGACAAAGATCGGATTTCGAAGGAAAAAAGTCATAATAAATATAAAAACATTAAGTTGCTGATTTTACGATATATAACATATTTAACATATGTAATGTCAAGTCATAAATATAATAAGAACGGAAAATTATTGTAATAGTTTCAAATATAATTTAATATAAGAATTGAAGAGTTAAAAAGAAAATCTAAAATAACGAATCAAATTTTAAACGCCGCATTAACATTGTGTAAAATTATGTAATAAAATTATTATCGCTTATTGTAATAGTTACAAATATAATTTAATACAAGAATTGAAGAGTAAAGAGGAAAATCTAAAACAAGTCAAATTAATAGCATCCAAAGCTTCATGACAAGATCGTGTGGATGAGTTACTCGCTACTTATTTGATTGATTTTAAGTCTCTAAAGTAAGTGAATTTAAACAGATTCTACTATAGTTTTGGTAACCTTTGACCTGTGAGTGACTCTATCTTGTCCGCTCGCGAAATCTAATATAGATTAAGAATATTGCTGAAGAAGATTCCAAAGAGAATTGAAACGTTTAATGAGTTCAATGAGTTCAATGATTTCTCAAGACTTTAAATAAAGAAGAATCAAATGGAGTAACAAATTTATTTGTTAAAATTGTATTGCACACCTCTCCCGCTAACTTTCATTAGCCCAGATTAATTTTGCTTTTGTTATTTTATTGCTAAAATATTATTGATTAGCTTCACATTTCAAAATGCACATGAGAAAGTTATAAAATAATAAAAAAAAATTGGAGATTAGAAAACACACTAAGAAATTAGCCTCTCTAAGAGATTAGCCTGTTTGATTCACATACACCAATTCTTATAGGATTCCTGGACGTTTTCTTTTTACGAGAAGCAAATCCATCTCGTAGCGAAGCCGTATATGAAAATAGCAGATCTTGCTCGATTTCTGTTGCCAATTTGCCGTCAGATTATGTCAGTAGATTCAACTCGGTTTCTATCCGCAATCTGCTGTCAAGTTATACAGCAGACTCTGTTTCTGTTACCAACTTGCTGGCATAGCATATCATCAGGCTTTGTCATATTTTTGATAACAGTTTTGCTGACATTGTCTGATAGTAAAAACTATGTATAATTTGTTGTCTTTCTGCAATCAGAAACTGATAGCAGACTTTGCTCAAAATTTGTCTCTTCGAATTTGGATAGGAGATTATAGATGGATCTGAGATTATAGGTTATTATTAAAATTAGGTATAAAGTTTCTCCTAATTTGCAGGAACAGGTGATGCGACAAGTTTTTGAAGAGATGCAAACACTTTATAAAGCCAATTTAATGGACAGGTATAGTATATGTTCATTAAAGTCTTTACAAATTATATGAAAAGTAAAATCATAAAGAGAGTAAAATATTGTATATAAACAATGTATGATAACAATATAATTTAATGAAATAACATTTAGCTGTCTTGTAATTTAACAGGAAAAGCTACATTTCACTAGTGATTAGATATCAATCTTAATAAGTTTTCTTTACTTTTTGCAAATGTTTCAGACTTTCCAAAATGTTTCAGTAACGCAATACAGAATGAAAGAAACAATGCATTGTTACCATCGGTACATTTTCGCCATACGGCTCTGCTCAGGAATAAAAGATGCATACTGGCGTACCTATATCATCGGATCAGACGATTACGGCAGATGCGCTGGGAATTGGGCAGCATCCTACCAACCGAGATAACCGCTAATTTATTGAATGCAGAGATGCAATGGTTTCAGAATTATAATAAATCTCTGGCCACCTACATGAGATCAATAGGTGATGATCATGGATTAAATCTGACTGTGAATATGAGTCCTCCAAAGACGCTATATGTTGAGGTAAATATTTCTCTTCTAGTCTCTCGTATATGTGGCAGAACATTCATTGTGTAAGAATATTTTTTCATTTTTTTTTTTCGTTTGAATTTGCAATTTTGCTTCTTGCTTTATAAGTATTTTTATTTATAAATCATGGATTGTACAATTTTGGATGTTTTATAGATATAAATTTTTATTTAAAAAATTTATTTAATAGAAGAAAACAAGCTTTCTTTTGGATATATGTAATATATATGTAATATAAATTATGGATTTTATATATGTACGTATGTATTATACTAAAATAATTGAATGATACTAATAGTTAGATGATTTCTTTTAGGTGAAGTGTTTAAGTGATTTCGGCAAACTAGAACTTGACGATGGTGAGATCATTACATTAAAAAAAAATACATATCATCTGTTACCAAGAGCTATATGCGAACCACTTATCAGACAAGGCATACTCGAACACCATAATGCATAATTGTATAATTAAAAAAAGTTTCTCCCTATTTCTATCATTTCTTTTTTACATTTATTTTGGCATACATTTATTGTGTATTTTAGTGCTGCAAACACTATCCTCACTGTGTGTGCAGCTCAACGTAAAAATGAATACATACGCACGCGCGATTATCGCATTTAAGAAGTAAAACAAACATTTTTTACTGCAAAATGAAACATAAATGCAAATTTTATGTTTTACTATTAGTTTCATATTCTTAGTTTGTTCTTTTTTAACTTTTTCCATTATTCTTTAATCTCTGATAAATAATCTTTATTGTTACTGCACATATTCTGTAAATAATAATAATAATAATAATAATAATAATAATAATAACATAATTCCTCTACTTAAATTCGAATGCTTAATGATAAGGTATTGGAGTGTATTTGCAACTGATTTTGTCATTGATCACGACTTTCTCATCTTTTATTACATATTTTAATATTTATATGAACTATTATTTAAAACCAAATATACTTGAAATTAATTAGAAAATATAATAATTGTGATACATTATAGAAACTTGAAAAGATATTTATCATATTTTTAATTACCACGGTTATTATTGTCAAAACATTTTTATGAATATTTAAACATGGATGATTCCTGTGAGGGACTGGATCACTATATAATATGTTAAACAACAACAAAACAATATTTATTCCAAAAAGGTATTGAACAGATATAATAATTATGATAACTCTTTCTCTTTCTCATCTACAAACGTTCAAACTTCTAAAACAAAGTAAAAATGTTCTATTTATCTTCTCTTTTCCTTTTATCAAGTTACTTAAAAATACAGTTTATATTCGAGAGCAGATAATCCGAAACAGTTCCTAAGTTAATGGCATACAAGTACACGTTCACAATATATGCGTATGTACTTGCGTATGTAATAGCCTACTTTAGGCCCAGTTTTACAACTCATGGTTAACTCTTAACCGAGGTCCAACTTATTCATTATCTCTTTTCAATTCTAGAATTGGAAAGAAATGAGAAACAAGTTGAACCTCATTAATTACTTTGCGAGTTATAAAGCTTGAAAGATATAGTACCACCAGCATTAGCATTACATAAGGTGTCCGATCGACAGTTAAAACCTCTTGAATGTTGTTCAGGATCATGTCCTGAATAACATTTGTTAAGATCACGGTCACTGGAGATTGTTTCTTTTATTTTCATTTTTGCACTGAAAATTCATTTTATGTAAAAATCCTGAATAATATTCAAGACGTTTTAGCCGTCGGTCGAACACCTTGCATATTGCCAATGTCGGTGGTACTGTAATTTTCAAGTCTTATAACTCGCAAAGTACTTAATGAACTTAATTATAATGTTTTGAAAAGCTCTCGAGGCAAGCTACAAGAATATGCAATGAAAAATTAAGGGTTCCATTTAAAAAATTCAAAGTAACCTTGCCTTGATCTTGACAACGCCACCCAAAGTCAACCAATAATATCATTTTATCTCCCTCAAAACTTTTGTCTGAAACACTTTTCGATTTAATGCAGTGTTTTTGAGATATTTGAGTGGATCTTTTAAAATGGAACATCCTGTGCGTGTGCGTGCGTTAGCTTGCAAATTATCCATTAATCAAACATTTAATGATAACTTCACAAAAATATATTTAGATATTTAAAATTTAGAGCATTATATATACTGTATATATATATATTAGGTGCGCAACTAAGTTCTCGCTGTTATTTTGATGCAAATGCCATCAAAATAACAGCGAGAACTTAGTTGCGCACCTAATATATATATATACAGTATATATAATGCTCTAAATTTTAAATATCTAAATATATTTTTGTGAAGTTATCATTAAATGTTTGATTAATGGATAATTTGCAAGCTAACGCACGCACACGCACAGGATGTTCCATTTTAAAAGATCCACTCAAATATCTCAAAAACACTGCATTAAATCGAAAAGTGTTTCAGACAAAAGTTTTGAGGATATATATATATATATATATATATATATGCAATCATATAGTAAATATCTATATATAATACTATACATATAAAAGTATTAAGGTAACATCGAAAGGTAGTATCGAAAAAACCAATAGTTTATGAGATATTTTATATTTTATTCTGGCACATATTGACATAAAATGTTAAATAAACTATTAACTTTTTAATAATCGTATCTTAATACTTTTATGAACAGAATAATGAGATGAATCAATTGATGTAAAGAAACACCATATAATTGCTTTAAAATAATATGTATGCAAAATGGATAATTTTTTAAATAAACAACTATGTGTTTTTTTTTCCACCAACTAATTCATTTCATTATTCTGTTCATAAAAGTATTAAGATACGATTATTAAAAAGTTAATAGTTTACGAGTTATTTAACATTTTATGTCAATATGTGCCAAAATAAAGTATAAAATATCTCATAAACCATTGGTTTTTCGGTATCATTATCTTATCATTAATACTTTTATATGCAGAATAGTTAGAGGAATTATATTATGTAAAAAAATTCACATATTTCCATTTAAAAAAACGAAGGTAACCTTCAAATCTCCTAAGCACTTCCATTTGGAAAAAAATGTTCATCATCACAAGATGCCCCTCTCGAGACCGAATAACTTTATTTCATGCATTTCTTTCTATCTTCAAAACTGCGGATGTTATTCGGGTGACTGGTCTTAAGTGAGACACTCTGTATATGTGTATACATTATATTGTATATGTATATTGGCAACTATTTTTATCAACATGAAAAAATTTGAAAAAATTCTCAGAACTTTATGATAAAAAAATAAGCAACTTTTGTCTCTTGCTATTTTTCTGTAAAATTGATAGTATTTGAGTAAAAAATTATTGAAGACCAATATTCGGAATTTTTAGTAATTAATACCTCGTTAATCATTGCGAAAATTCCAAAATGGTACAACACTTTTCGATTCATGGTCAGTTTAGTCCGCTCTATCTACAAAAAGCGTTTGGTAGAAATCTCACCTTATATGTATACATATACATATAGTACCTGTCCTGATAAAAAGCTAAATTCATTTATTAAAGTACTAATGATTCTGCCATACATATACATACAGTGAATACAGAAAGTATTCATACAAAGAAAATATTTTTTTTTAATTTTATTTTTTTAAAGTAAATATTATCTAGCGAGAAATGAGTTATCGAATTGATATTGAATCGATATAAATATGATTTCAACATCAATTTGACGTCGATTCGATGTTTAATTGACGATCATTTTTTTTTTAATAACAATTTATTCATAAAGAATAAAATAGACTATATGTTTCTTAAAATTATATATACCAAAAAGATATGTATTAATTATACAAAATATATCATCTGAAAAATAAGAAAAATTCAAAATTGTATTGTTTGATGTTCGAAAACTATTCGTACAAGAAATTTAGTTTCTAAAATCAAGAATACATGCGAAACTCGTTTGTTTATGTTAGAACAGAATGTATTTATTGTATAAAATTGCTAATTAATGTTTATTTTCTACAAATAAGGCTTTTTATATAACAGATTTCCTTGTACGAATACTTTTTGCTCTCACTGTATGTATATTTATGCGCAAATTGAGTTTTTTAAATTATGATATTGCCTTATAAATCCCTTTTTTCTATTCTGTTAAAATATGCGATCTGTTTTAAATATATATTTTGTTACGTTATACAAGGAATTCGATTGAATGTAATAGCGTTTTGTAATTGAATGTAATAGCATTTTGCAAGTGCATTTTGATGCATATTAAAACCATTATACACTGATTAGATCTAAACACAAAAGTGAAATACAAATATAATATAATGCTGGAGGTAATATTAATTTATAGTATATATCTTTTATCAGTTAATATTTAATTTTTAGACACGTTATTGAACATTAATAATTTCCCACTGAAGATGATCATTAAAAGTCGGAACATATGGTTATTGTCATATTTTTAATGTTTAATCTTTTAATTTTTAATTGATGTAATTACATATATCGTTTTCACAATAAGAACATCCAGCGTTTGACTCTTATTTATTTTGAATATTTGCATTGTTATTTCAATTGAGCCGTTTGTTATATTTATTGGTAATTGAAATACAAATATTTCAATATTATAAAATACATTTTACTTAACAGCACATTGAAATTTATTTAATGTTTTATGGTTTAATCTATTTATTATGTCATTTAAAAAGTATCCGCGGTTTTTTGTTTAATTTTTGAATGAAAAAACCGCGGATACTTTTAAATGACCCAATATATTAAACATATTTATATTTTTACCAATTTGTGTACGATGATTTAAGTGCACTAGGTGTATCAGAGTATGTCTAATTAAATTCACTATCATATAACATATTGGGTCACCTAAAAAGTATCCGCGGTACTTTGTCACTAGATATATGACCATTAACACGCATCTAGTGACAAAAAACCGCGGATACTTTTTAGATGACCCAATATATACCTTTTAATCGGAAGCTACTTCTTCGTATTTGCGAAATAATTCTGAATGTAATGTGCGGGAAAGGGGGGAGTTGATTAAATAAATTTGACGAAATTTGTTTTATTGTTTTATTATGAATTTTTAATATTTTTTGTTTTATTTCTAAGAAAAATCTTGGAAAAAAACTGCACTTTTAGGGATTAAGATCTTACAAGTTAATTGTTAAGATATTTCACGGTATGTTACGTTAATTCCGATGAGCAACAATATCATTATTTACATTTTCTATCGTTATCGTAGGTTTTTCCCAGATAATCGGGGCATTGACGTCGGCAAGGTCTACCTGCATTAAGGTACTCACACACCGAAAAAGTCGTCATCTTTGTTCCTTTATAATTATAATTATTCGCCATTATTTTATTTTAATACCATTATAATGCATAGTAATGTTAAATGATAGTAAATTTCATATACGGAGATATTTTATCGCATCAATTGAGAATTTGAGAAGCTTTTACAGGAATACATTTGCACGTCAAATTCTTCGATTGCTGA